AAGCCTCGGCGCCCACAATACTTCACTTCTAACAAAAAAGAGGGCAGAGGGGGGGGGGAGGAGGAGGGTTTTTTGTCGCCTTGATGTGTGCATAATTTTTTGCTTGCATTCTTGCTTGCAGCTGTCGGTGGTTAAAGCTATCCCTGAGATAGATGTGATTCATTTTAGCCGTGAAAGTAATTATACGTTTTATTGCCTTGATATTTTTTCTATTTTTTCCACTTGCACAATTGTTAATGTTGCACTTAACACGTCTTCTCTAGCCATTCATTTCACAGATTCGTGCATTGTTGCATTACTTTGAACACGAAAAAAAAGTTCTCCATAACAAAACAATTCGCGGCAATGAACCAAGTGGCATGATATATTATTAAATTAAGTTTCGTAAATATAATTGACTAATCACCTATCCATTAAATGAAGACTGAGAATGCTCTACTAAAATTCTTGTTTGGCTTTGCAAGCAGCTGCTCTCTCAAAGTACCAAAGGAAGATCTTTAACGCCATAGTAGAAATTTAAAAATGTATGAATTGAATAAAACCAAGAAGTCTAAACTTTCTTTAGACCAGGTTTGGTTATTTGAACAGCTCTGGTCTGACGGTGACCTCTGAAGACCCGAGTCAGGTCTCCTCTGCCTAGAGGTGACCTAGGAATCTCCTCAGCAACCCTGGTCTATAGGTGACCTAGGAATCTCCTGGGTCTGAAGGTATAACTCTTGTTCGAGCACTCTGACCTATATAACACTTGAGCCGTCATAACAAAGAATTAATTCATGGTAAATGAAGTATAAGAGGGATAGCTATATACACCTTGAGTGCATTGATCCAGCGCACGACAAGAATGCATTGCTGAAACGCTTGCCGGATACACATGAACGGGCTGAGATGGTTGGAGTACGTGGTGAAAATACAATTAATGCTTTGGCGTGTGAAATAATGCAAACACGAGGTTTCTAGCGAAAGGATACAACACGTGTGCATTAGTAAATACAGTAATACAGCTGTATAGTAGGAGTACAAGACATGCCAGGGCACTACAATCATCACGAAGCACTGCTAGTTTTTGTACGGTTCGTTCAGCGCCGAGTATATGAGACGGAGGGGGAGATAGAAGGAGCGGGAGGAGGGAGGGAGGGAAGGACTGGGGGGAGAAAGGATGCTGCGAGCGGACAGAGATGAAACACATCACTCTTCATCCCACTTGTCCTTCCCATCTTCTTAGGCAACACTGCCCACTGCTCACCGCAGGCAACACTGGGCCCACTGCGCACCGCAGGCAGCGTTGGGCCCACTGCGCACCGCAGGCAGCGTTGGGCCCACTGCGCAACACTGAGCCCACTGCGCACCGCAAGCAACACTGGGCCCACTGCGCACCTCACAACTCACTACACCTATCTCAAGCAGGAAGACCAAGGTTGCGAGGTGAAAGATAATCAGAAGAACCGCAGGATGAGATAGTAATTACTGTAGAAGAGGTAAAAGAACACCTACAAGAACTAGATATAGTATATTGAATAGCACCAGATTTAATGTACTGTATGAAATCACACTAATTTGATAGATATCGATAAGAAAATCAACAGGACTACTGAGGTGACTAGAACCACCAATCCAGCCCCCTTCACTTTACTACTGAACAACCACGACTTGATACAATTTAAACAAACCTGGAATTCCACTGAATCCACAGGGAGTCTGGAGGCTTCTACTGAAGCCAGTCCAAGTATCCACTGTGCGCTTCTAACATAGGTTGCTGGTTCGAGTCAACTGTGTCAACTGTGATCAAGTTGATTTTCTCAACTTGATCCTTCAGCTGCCTTATTAATAAGACAGCTGAAGGAGGCTGAAAATGCGTTTTGCCATCCGCTAACTCAATTTTTCAATAAGATATTCGGGAAAGAAAATCTTCCAGAATTGCTGGAAACGGAGAACGTAATCTCAATTTACAAAAAACGGGGACAGAGACAGGGGGCACTAAATTACATAACAGTGCCAACGACACGTATTCCGTTTAAAGTGATGGGGGAAGTAATGAGGAAGATGAGAATAAGGGAGCACTAGGAGAGGATAAACTTTGTGGTGATAGGGCAAATATGACTTTAAATGTCGTGCCTGGTAAACTTGATCGAGTTCTTCGATCTAAGGTTTTCCAACGTCAAGAAAACGATCAATTTATAGCGCCCTTATCCTAACCTACCAGAGGACCCAAAACAGAAATCGGGAGTGTACATCACTTTCACACAGGAAATTTCGAGCGTAGGAATGTGACAAGTGACTTTACCAATCTGGAGATGGTTCTAGGAATCAATGTCACAGCAGCCGGGCCTTTGGCCAAGCCTCCTGTTTGGTAGTCAGGGGGCCCGATTCACGAAACAGTTACGCAAGTACTTATGAACGTGTCCGTCTTTCCTCAATCTTTGACGGCTTTGGTTACATTTATTAAACAGTTTACAGGCATGAAAACTTCCCAGTCAACTTTTGTTATTGTTATAAACAGCCCCCTGGTGCTTCGGAGCTCATTAACTGTTTAATAATTATAAACAAAGGCGCCAAAGATTGAGAAAAGATGGACAGGTTGGTAAGGGCTTGCGTAACTGCTTCGTGAATCTGGCTCCTGGTCAACCAGGCTGTTAGACGTCGCTGTTTACAGTCTTACGCACGTATTTCTGGTCTACCTCCTCTCCTCCCTCTTCCCCTTTCTCCTTCCTTCTCTCCCAATCTCTGTCTGTCAGTCTGTTTGTGTCTGTCTCTGTTGAGTTGTTGTATGTTTGTGTTTTTCTGTCTGTCTTCCAGTCTCTCTCTTTACATTGATCTGTCTCTATATGTGTCTCTGTCTCTGTATCGGTCTATATGTCTGTCTCTGTATATCTGTTTATCTCTGTCTCTCATTCTATCCTTATCTACATCACTTAGTCTCTTCATTGTATTACAACGTATCAACAACAACAGAATATGTTCTTCAATATACACGCGGTACGAGGAACCATTTATGTAGCATTTCAAGTGGTGCACCCTTCAGATGGATAAGATGAGTCCCAGTACATACTGCGTACACATCGACGACACATATTTGCATGTGTTGATAACGAAAACACATTGGAGAGACTTGGGAGCAAGCTTAAAGTAGTCTCACACTTGAGGCTCACTACTGAGTAACGTAAGGGAGGTAGAATATCATTCCTTGATGTTCTCGTGGATGATACTTCGGTTAGATTTATCACAGAAGTGTATCCTAAACCGACTGATGTGGGTAAATGTATGACTGCACTGACAGATATAACGAAAGTGTCCTCGGTGCATACTAAAGGCGCGCATCTGTTCGTATCTGTTCTTCTTGACAGCTCTTGCACCGTGCACTCGAACATATTCGCCAAATATAACAATTAGAAAGTAATAACAAATAAATATTTGGGAATAACAATTACATTAATTAGTACCAACTTCGACGAAATCGTTAGTAAGAAGCTTGGTCGCCACTGCACCGTGAATAATGGGAATAATAAATGTAATTCTGGAGACAGTGTGTTCTGCAATGTATGCTGCATCAGGCACACTATTGACACATTGAGTAGACGTCTTATACTTCATTTACAGAACGGAGGAATCAAACAACACACAATAGTCCCCAACACCATCTTGAATCCTTAAAACATCGTAAAAAAAGCACCACACTTGAAGCCTCCATATTCGTGAGTTGGTCCCATTGATTACCAACTTAATGAACTTGTTATTGAGCATTCAGCTGTTTGGTGGACCTCCTTTGACCCAGAGGGAAGATAGTCGTCGCGTTTAGGCAACTATCACGTTTTCTCCTCACCCTTCGACGAACCAGAGGGAAGATACTGTGTTTATGTGATCTTACGTGTAATCATAGTATACTCGTGTTCTCCATACATTCTGAAGATGTCACAGTGTTGACGAAACGTTGAAAGAAAAGGGGAGGGACTGTGTGATCTTCTTCATCCTCTACAGTCTAGATATTACCAGGAATCTGCAAACCTTTCAACTACGGGCTCACCATAGTCCGTGCTACTTGGAAATTTTTGTTCCAAGTAGCGAATCTTAAACAACAACAATGCAAACCTTTCAATCCGGGAGCCTCATCGCATATTTTACACATTTTCATGAGGCTAAGAAAAAATCTGCTGTATGAATTAATGAATAAGAGAGGAAGTGAGACAGACAGAAATATATATACAGACAGACATAACGATAGAGAGAGAAACAGACACACACACAAAGACTGAGATAGACACACAGACAGGAAATAATAGACACAAAATAGATACAGGATGAGAGAGAGAGAGAGAGAGAGAGAGAGAGAGAGAGAGAGAGAGAGAGAGAGAGAGAGAGAGAGAGAGAGAGAGAGAGAGAGAGAGACAGACAGACAGACAGACAGACAGACAGACAGACAGACAGACAGACAGACAGACAGACAGACAGACAGACAGACAGACAGACAGACAGACAGACAGACAGACAGACAGACAGACAGACAGACAGACAGACAGACAGACAGACAGACAGACAGACAGAGACAGAGACAGAGACTGACTAACATAAAAACATTGCTAAACAGAATGGCGATCAGCTCAATTAGCATGTGTACATATCGTCCTTGAGGACGACCATCTGTTGACCACCTGTTCGGAATACAAATCTTTCTCATTTTTTAAGCTCCTGAAATAGCAAATGTCCTCCTATCATCATACTTCATATTACATGAAAAATTAATCATATAAATTTAGTCAGGACAAATGAACACTCGATGCAAACACGACAAAAACAAACATATTTTAATAAATTAGGGCATAGGAAGCTTCAGGATAAGGAAGAGGCAGGTATGCGGCCAGGTAGGAATAGTGTTGTGGGTGACCTCCACCTCACGTCCAACTCTCACTAGCCTCCTCCCGTGCTAATGCATGAGACGCACACGGCGCCAGGCTACAGTTGCAACTTTGAGGAAGCTAAGCTGACAAACAACAGGCATCACTACTCACCTGAATGACGTGAAACACGTCCCTCGCTACTATCTTTCCCAGGCGCACTTTCTCGCAGTAGACTTTCCCTTTTTCCTTGTGTTTTCCCCCCTCTCACTGACTTATCTAAAGAGTCTTATCACATGTAGGGAATTCAGGCCAACGATGCTGAGTATGTTATATACTAAGGTAAAAATTACGAGGAGCGTGGCTATGTTAAGGGTGGAGAGACACGAGGAACGACACGCCCCCTCTCCCCAGGCCAGACTGGACCTGATTGTGGCAGCACTAGCAGCGGCGGCGGCGGCTGTCAGGTGCTCTAAGCCGCGCCTCTTATTCCTCCTGAAAAGAGGTTGCCAAATTTACCGACGCGCGCCGTCCAGTGGGGTATTTCTTGCTTCCGTTCTTTTATTTGTATCTGTAATGCATATATTTGTAAATATTTTGTAATGTAGTTCATTAATTATAATCAGAATAGCTTGTGTATACAAGTACATACACTAATGTACTATTAAGATAGGTTAGGTTATGTAAGGTTAGGCTGACATATTAGGTAAGGCATCGCTGCTTGTATGGTATTGTCATATACTTTTTGTTCACTAATGAGGGTTTTGTTGTTGATTTTGTGCCGAATGGCCAGGTTGCAATGTTATGTAGTCACATTATTTAGACGCCCAACCCCCACACATTAAAAATTAAAGGAAGCGACAAAGTTTTGACCCGTCCTGGATCATTATTTTTTACTTAGCGTTAATCTTACTCCTGAAACCGAGTGATGACCTTGACATTACTCACCTTTAGGGCGCTGTTATGTTAATTTACGTAAATATCTTTATTATATTTATCAAAATCTCTTTCATTCACCTTCCAATTTTTGTTTCCTTTTTTAGTGTCATGCCCCCTAAATGTTCCGTCTTATACTTTGTTATTGCTCACGTTACCTTACAGACCTTCAGTCACTAATCATTCGTCTAGTTGCTCCTTCCAACCAGCCTGTAGAGGTCGCCACCGTAGTACGCGACATGTGCATCTCGTCCCTCGCGTACGGTACCTTTATCTGAATATACCTAAGAGTCACTAGTGTAGTGGCCTCGACGAGGACAGGAAGCCACCGACAATGCCAGCCGTACATAGTTTTTTCCCAGTGCGCGACCTCCAGTTCATGATGAATGGTTTTGTTACCAAAACAAGTTTGTCACCTTTCAAGTCGGCAATGTTCCCATGTTCCTCGGACAACCACTCACCATCAACAATGAGCCTTGACACAACTACACTTACAGCAGGAACTCGCCTCTCTTGCCTAATCATGTTCAGTGCTTACTTAAAACTATTTACCGAGTTTCTCACTTCGAAACACCGTCAACGTGATTCCCTTCAGGTGAGAAGCATACACGGGCTTGTTCCCACTGCTGGCCACGATACTCTCCATCCTGTTCACAATGTCACGTTATACCAGTCCCAGGAAAACACACTCTCATCCTGTTACGTCCATCCGTTTATCCTCACTTTGTATCTTTCGTGCTGAATATTCTTCTAGTTTATATCTTTGCACTCCATTAGACTATCCACCTGCTCCCTTAGCCTGACGGTCTCTGATCTAAGAGCTAGGCAGTGCTCGTACAGGGCTTGAGATGAGGTCATGACGTGAACATTATACTTATGATAGGAATGATAGGATATACTTATGATTATGATATGAAGCCGGCGGCTTGTCGAAGGTCCCCCAATTGCCTTGACTATCTTTTCCAACTGTACTGTAAAACTTTTTTTGTTTTGCATTTACGGCTTCGGCGGGTAGGCCGAAGCCGTAAATGCTCATCCATGGTATGAATGAGTCTGCTTGGGTCTATAAAGCAATATAGGGGTTGCTTTATATGGGCCAATAAGCCTTGAACAGTTTCCTTCATTCATATTATCTTATGAACGACTGGTAATTTATTTGATAACTGATATATTTCCACTCGCCTGGACACAGTTGGACATCATCTATATAAAAAAAAATATATATATATATATATATATATATATATATATATATATATATATATATATATATATATATATATATATTTTTATTTTGTGAGGGTACCACCTCTGGTGCCAATGTGGGGACCCATATATATATATATATATATATATATATATATATATATATATATATATATATATATATATATATATATATATATATATAATATTATACAAATAAGAGCGAGAAAGCCTTTTAAATATTTACATCACTGTTAGGTTCGTGAAGAGCATTATTTAGTATAACAACATAAAAAAAATAAAGTGTTTCACACTTTCCGGGAGCGCCAGTGTGACAAGAGGGGTGACTCAAGCATATCTCGCAGACGACGTCCGCTGTGGCCTTCGTCACCGCTGCGTAAAGCATCAATGGGACGCACAAGGTGAATCCTAATTTTCTTGGTATGGCTAGGGAGTCATTGTCAAATTCTCGTTAAAACAACAAGATGTGTTATTGCTTTAAATGTTACGTTAATCTCACAGTTTGGGCCAGATATGCTACTCACATTTTAGTCATTGAGTAGATTTACTCTGGAATGAGTTCCCTGCCTGGAACTGATCACACTCTACAAGGAACTTGGCATATTCTGGCTGGAACGCAGCATACTCCACCAGGCACTTAGCATACTTTACCAGGTACTGGAGTCTTATTAGGCCAGAGACTAAATATTCTCCCAAGCTACTTCAGATCAGGTCAAGTTTGGTTAAGGAAAATGGATAAAAATGGTGACAATTCTAACAATTCCACAGACAGACACACAGTATCTATACTTATTGAAGAGAATGTCTGTTTGTCCAAAATTGGCAGCCAGTTGCATGGAGCCTAGCCTCACTTAAATTTGAAAGGGGAATGGTCTGGGATACAGGACACACATGGGCTGATCAGGGCTTGCCAGAATTCAATAGGGAACAACGTGCCAGGGTCATATTCTGATCCCCCCATGAACATTGTAGCCACTGTCTGCCATATAAATATTGTCAAAACAAAAAATTTAAATATATGAATTTTATCTCAATGTAACATACAACATTATTCAGTAATACTGGAAAAAATCAACAGAACATTTCTGATATACAGAAGGGGAAAGGAACTTTTCATTCAATCAGCTTCATTAGCTTTGTGTTGGGCTTGAAGCCTATCAACCTCTGGGAGCAGGGGGGGGAGGGGAATCAGCACGCTTTAGCTCTAAACTATCTTCAGGACTAGAATGAATATATGCACTTTATACACTCAGAGAGGAAAATATATAAAGGTTTAATTTATTTAGCTATCTAATTATCTAAGTATTTAATCATACTGTATATATATATAAATATATTCCCTGCAGAATCCTCCCTTGAGTGGCCGCGCGCCAATCCGGCTCCGCTCCTGATAAGGCCAGCCAGCTCACCTTCCCACCATGCTCATAGCTCCGTGTCAACAACCAATACGCAGTGCATATTTAGCCTAGTTCATCTATTATGTATTCAATAGCCACCCTGTTGGTGGTGGTGGAAAGGTTTGAGACACACACATGCAGAGCGGCAGCTGTCCCTCCACCTCCCCGCCAGACGCATTCTTAAATGTTAAGATACTGTGGTTTAATATACTCATTCTTACATATGAGAACTAAATTGGTATGTTCTCATGTAAGTTAAATTTATTATACATTAAACTTCTATGTAAAGTTAGGGGTAAGTTAGGTTATGGGTTTTAGTTCCGTTGGCGATTATTTGTATTTGAAGTACATGGGTGAAGCATTTACAGCAACCCATCCTCGACTCAAGTCTATTACATTCGGCGGTCAACCCCACAGACGCATTCATAAATGTTAACATGCTGTTCATTCAAAACGGGAATTTTCTCAAATATAAATTAATATTATAATATATTGGCATATTGTGCATATATAGGCATAGATTAGGTTAGGTCAGGTGTTTAGGTTCTGTTGGTGATTATTTGTATTTGTAGTACGTGGGTGAAGCATTTATAGCGTTGTGATTCGAACAAAATTCGTCAGTGAAGCACTTGTTCCGGATATGTTCGAACGTCAGCAGTTGTGAGTCGTGTGTAACCCGCTTTTCATTCATAAACAGGGGGTTTGGCGGGTGCATGGAATCACTTTTGGATCTTTGTTTGGAGGATATTCACTATTCACCTAGCAGTAAATAGGTACCCAGGTGTTAGTCAACTTGTCATGGGGTTATATCCTGGAAAGGGTATGTCATGTAAATATTGACATACTTCGCCCTTCAAGTTCAAGTTCAAGTATGTTTATTGAGACAATAAAAAAAATACATCTCAAAGGGATAGAGTAGCTTAGGCTATTTCTACCCTTTCTATTTCAAGTCCCCTCAAGGGGCGCACAAATTCAGTGAGTACAAATACACAAATCACAATACAAGAATCCCATTTAACGTAGCAGGTTAAAATAGGAAGCACATCACATAAGTGTTACAAGTGAGTTACAAATTACAAGGGAACAAATGAGAAGGCAGTATATAAACTTTTATATCTCATATTATTAATTATAACAGTAATCGAAAAAAGTCATAGTTTGTATATACAAAAGATGAAACAGAGAGTCATGAGCTATTTCGATGTGCTGAGTCCATAAGGAGACCGAGCTTCCAGAAATACCTTCCTGTGATTGGCTGTTGCGGCTAATACCAACACTCTTTTATGAATAAAATTTTAACTAAAAAAAGGTCCTTGTGCACAACAACAAGGTTGTTGTGAAAAAGAACAACAAATTCTGTTTTGCACCTGACAGAAATCTCCATCTAACTGAATAATTTACTCGCATAAGAGGGCAGAGCAGTGTATCATTATTTGTGTCAAGGCAACCCCCAATAATAACGTCTCAAGTTAGGTAGCCACAGCCCATTTTTATATAGCATCTGTTATATCCTGCAACATTTAATTATCACTTTATTAACACTTTAAATAATTAACACTTTACTTTTTGGGGTAAATTAAAGTTAAAGCAGAATTCCATAAGCATGACTGGTGGGCTGAATTAAGATGATTTACTAAGTGGATGGCACCTATAGCTGATCCCTTCCTGTGAGTGGCTGTTGTGTGAATGTCAACAAAGAGTTTCTACCAATGATATGCCATTGATTATGCACCCCAAACCACTTGTGGGCGGAGCTTGGAACCTCCTACCCGAGCACAACAACCCATCTTATGGGTTGCTGTTTGGTTATTTATAGTGCGTTGGAAAAAAAACAGATGGCGTTAGTTGTATTTTGTGGGGTAATTTGTTATAGGTGTAATTTGATGTCAACAGATGGCGTAAGCTGTATCTTATGACTACTATTAACCTGCCAGTTGATAGTGTTCTTATCTGCCGACAGATGGCATCAG